TCCTAGGTGACATTAGGGGTCTTGGAGACCCCTGATGTCTCCATAAAGAGGACCTGTCACATATTTTGCTATCACATAGGGGGTTTTTATTAGCCCCCGTATGTGATAGCAATAAAGTTACACATAAAAAAGAATTACAAAATAAAAAAAATTTTTTAAAGTCCCCACTCATACATACACGCATGCAAACATGCGTCGGGGGTGCATACGTGCAAAAAAGACGATTGCGCCCATTACGCCGCACGTTACATATCGCCGCGAGCGTCGCAGTGAGAGCAATAAGTCTAGGGCCATCAATCACTGATAACACTAAACTGATGAGCGGTAAAAGCTTTTAAAGCGTCGCCTATGGCCAATTTTGGGTATGGTAGTTTTCTGCAATTTCGCGGGTGCGCGCAATTTTAAAGCTTGACATGTTTGGTGTCTATTTACCGGACGTGACCCGATCTTTTATATTTTACCAAAAAACTGGGTAATAATAAATGTTTCCTAACATAATGTAAAATAAAACTTTTTTTCTCCCAAAATTGTCAGTAATTTCTCCTAATTATAGTGGTGATTAAATACCACCAAAGGAAAGCTCTATGTGTCCCCAAAAAATGGTGTAAAATTCATTTCAGTACAGCGCTGCATGACGGAATAAACTTCAGTCAAAGTACCGCAGCGCTGAATACTGAAAAATGGCCTGGATGGGAAGGGGGTCTAAACACCTGGTCTTGAAGTGGTTAAAGTATGTCTGTGAAGAGTCTCATTCCTCCAGGTCATTGTATATCTGTAAAAAATAAATCGAGGCAACTGGACGTGCTGTATTTTGAAGATACTGTCCTGACCAGGATTTGGACCCAGGACCCCAGTGCTACAAGTGCTAAGCACGAATCTGCTGGGTTCACAATGAAACAGGCTGAACGCATTTGCACTATTTTTGGCAAAGTGACACTCGGCGCCTTCACTTGTGTGTGTTGTGCAACAGTGCGGGTGCTTGTTGTGCATTGGGGCGGCATTTGGGATGAAACACATACAGCTGTTTTATTGTGCGTTACTGCAACATGCATACCGCAGTGTGCTGCATTGTGGTGCCTTTTGTTCTGAATGGCACCCCAATGTACTACGACAGTAGAAGGCAACCTACCCGCACTACAGCGCACCACCGCGCTTGGCATGTGCTGAGCAATTTTGTGCCTATCTATTTTTGCTGATATTGTGGTGCGTTATGAATGCAATAAACACCGCAAAGATGTTAAGGGGCCCTGGAATTAAAGCTCAACTCTGACCTTCCTTTCCGTCTTGCACAGTTGTACCGGCTCCTCTCCTGGACTGGAATCGCTTCCTGATATCACTGCACACTGCGAGCTTCTCACCATGTACATTAGAAGCTGCAGCAAGTCAGAAAGAGCCAAACTCATTTCCTGGCTGGGATATGTCCAGCATCATCTAGTTCTTTCCTCCCCAGCCTGACTGTCCCTAACCCGCCCCTTTCATTTATTGGATTTCAGTTCCGTTACTTATGGAGGCTCAGCATCATCTGGGTGTTACCTAGGGTGGTCTGCATGCACAGTGTGCAATGGAATCAGAGGAAGCAATTTCAGTGCAGGAGAGGAGCCGGTACAACTGTACAAGACTGAAGGGAAGGCCGGATTTCAGCTTTAAAGGAGAACTATGAGGTGAGTGCTTTTCACTCACCTCATAGTTCTAGCCGACCTGTGATAATGAGACTGTCACAGGTCGGCTCAGTAGATCGGGAGGGGAGCGAACACATACCGGCGTTCGCTCACCTCTCGATCCTGTCACGGCTCTCTGCCGTGACAGGGGGAGGGGCTGGATTCCCCCCTCCCCGCTCCTCCAGCGCTGACTGGCGGAACGGACGGGGGAGGGGGCGGGTACAGCTGGCTCTGCCTCTAGATAGGCAGAGCCAGCTGTCACTCACGCAGCTGGGCGGATCTCGACATCGATGTCGGGATCTGCTCCAGCTGTGGCGTCTCAGTATATATATATAATGAGCTGTAGCTCGCGGTATACTGAGCTTAGGGTGACGGGAGGACGCTAGTTTGTGTCCTCCCATTACCCCAAGGAGAACTATGGGGAAAAGCCCTGACCCCATAGTTCTCCTTTAATGTTGGCATTGACACAAGAACAACAAATCTTCCAATGTTCCAGGGACAATACGTGCTCATCCCAGGTCAGTGATCTAGTAGGTAGTAAAGGCAGCACAGGAAAGGACAGCACTGGATAAGTCAGTTCCTTCTAAAATAAATATTTCCCTTCTAGATTGGACTGACGGCTTCCTCTTCCATATCTTACCTATGGGATCGTACTTCCTGAGGATAAGTTTGTCCTTGATTTTGTTCCTCCTGGTGTTGAAGGAATAGCCAGTCCCCGCCGCGCTCATCATCTGAACCAGGAGAACTCTGACACAAACACAAGATGGAGAACCATTAAGACACCTATAAAGTGTACCTGTCACTTACAAAAAGTGAGTTCCTATAGTAAGCAATGTCGGTCCCCAATAAAGTTGTAGGACCGCTGGATTAGTTATTGCACAATCATCTGTTGTTAGGGTGGTCACCGGTCCGCTTTGAAGCGTAGCTCCGGGTTTGTGAAGCTGCACTTCTTGGCATGGGGACGGCGACCCAACAAAACTGGACATCAATATTGGTTGGTC